TGTAGAGGCTAATGATATCATGCTAAATATAAAGTTGAGTGAGGTAGGTATATGAGAAAGCACAGAAATGAGAATTTTTTTCTATGTTAGGATATTGAGGAAGACTGCATGGAAGAAATGGCATTTAAATGGCATCTGGAAGTTTGAATAGAATGTTGATGTTGGGGAAGGGCATTTTGAGTGTTAGAAAGACTGGAGAAGAGGCTTGGAAAACTGCCATTAGATTGCTGCTCTAACTTCTCAACCTTTAATGTGCATAGGAATCCTTGAGGGTCTTGTTAAAATGCATATTCTGATCGAGTAGGTCTGGGGTGAGACTTGAGAGTCTGTGTTTCTAACAAGCTTCCAGGGGATGCTGGAACTGCTAATCCAAGGACCCCATTTTGAGTATCAAGGTTCTAGTCTAGAGAAAAGGTTGATTGAGGAAGAATGAGTTGATTGGGTGGGCTCAGGGCAGGTTCTGGACAGGTCCTAGAAGGCCTTGCTAAGGAGTTTGGAAATTTGTTCTATAAGCAAAATGAAATCATTGAAAGTTTCTGAAAAAGAGTTTTAGTGCTACAGAGTGATTAATCTGGAAATAAAATGTAGTATAAAATAGAGGTCGAATACACTGTGGGCCAGTTAGGAGGCTAATACAGTGGTATATTCACGTACTAAGTATCTACTGTGTATGTACTTTATACAGAGCACTGTGTCAAAATGTAGAGTGGTGGTTCTTTTTTCTCCCCCCATCCCACCATCCTGGAGTGGCAGTTCTTAAACTTCATTGTGTATGAGATTTACCTACAAAGCATAATTTTAATGCATATTTCCAGTCTCCACACCCAAATTAGTAGGTCTATGATAAGACCCCCAACATTTCTATCCTAAAACCACAAGGCCTCTGGTCTCTACAGTTACAGGTCAAGTAGTGTCACAGGGGATACTGAGTTAAAAAAAAAAAACAAACCTGTGTAGCTTCTGACCTCAGATAGCTTACATGACCCTATGGGAGATGAGGTGAATTTATAAGTAACTCAGAGAAAGAAGGAACAGATTATTTTGCACCTGGAGGGATGGCTGGAGGTTGGGGGGAGGAAATGACATACTGGCTTTGGCTTTAAAGAATCTGTAGGTTTTGTCCCAACTGGGGCAACATTGGGGAAAGACCTTGTAGGCAGTGGAAATAATAAAAGCAAGAATACTTCGAAGTTGTTTAGTTTGGTTAAAGTTGTATGAGTATTCAAAGTCAACATTACAAAGACAGGTTGGGGTCAGATACTGAAAGGCCTTTTAAATTCCTTCTTCCTGAGTTTGGACTTTATTTTGTTGACAATGGAGAGTATTGAAGAATTTTGACAGGATCATGATATGACCAGAGCTATAGTTGAGGAAGAACAGTGTGGTGGTAGTGTATAGGATGAACTGGTAAGGAGAGAGAAAGGAGGCAAGGAGAACAATGTGGAGGGTAATCAGGGCCTGAGAGTCAGGGTACTGGGAATGCAAAGTAGTGAGGAAGAGAAACAGATTGGAGAGAGGATACAAAAATAGAACCAATGGGTTATATGGGGCAAAAACAAGAGGAAGGAAAGATGCTTGTAAGGAGTCTAGCCTGAGTAACTGGGAAGATACCTAGGAGGCCTTTGGGAATAGAGGACTGAAGAAGGGAAGAGAGATTACACCTGGAGATATATATATATATATAATACAAACACACACTTGGGAATTAATCATATAAAATGCTAGTTGAAGCTGAAGAGTGGATGAAATTGCCACAGGGGATGGGATGTCAAGGGAAGGAAAAAGAGCATTATGGGTAGTATTTAGAAGGCCGATGGAGGAAAAAGAGCTAGAAAGAAGCAATGAGAGAGGTAAGGAAAGACGTTACAGTTTCACTGAACAAATAGTATAGAAGAAGAAGGAATGGTGGTCAGTAGTGTCAAGGGCTACAGAGAAGTTGGGGAGAATAGCACACAAAAGGCCACTGGATTTAGGAATCAGGAGATGATTGATGATCTTTAGGGGAGAAGATTCAGTGAATTATGGAAGTGGAAGCCCAATTAGAGGGAATTTTACATCAGTTTTGAGGATATAGAGGCAGAAACCATAGCTTACTTTTGTAGTAAATCTGTCTAGAAAGGAGTGTTGAGACAGGTTGAGTTTCGGTATGATGGGATGAGAGGCTAAACCAAATTGCAATAGGAAATAGAAAAGAGGAATTGGCATCCAGAGATCCTGAGGACATAGAATCTGTAGGTGTTGAAGACTGATTTGATGTGGAGATTGAATAAGAAAAGGATTCCATTTTTAAGACTTGGAACTGGAAGAAGGAAGGTGCCATTTGGAAATATAATGAAGTCATAAATTGGAAACAAGCTTGGGTTCAAAGATGACAAGTTTGATTTTAGACATACTTTTAATATTTTTAAGGGATACTAAGTAGTAGAATGCTCCCCTTTCTTCTCCAATAAATCTTCCTCCCAAGAGAAGGAGACAAGTGTCTTTGCTGGTCTTTTTGATGGACTGTATTTGGAGGCTGGGTGCTAAACTCTCAGAAATCCCATTTATATCTCAGGTACTAATGTATTCTAATATTCAGTTCTATGTATCGTGACATGGTAAAGCATGATGAATTGTTGATCCCCAGTAACCATTCAGAGAGGCCATTCAGTTCTTTCATCTAAAAGTAGTAAGATTCCAAAGACAAACCAACAACTGTCCAAAGAACTCTTGGTCCATTAAGTCCAAGGGACTTTTCCTAATATCCTCTCCATGTGCCTCTTATGCTTTCCCTTAGGGCTCTGTGTCTCAAATACCATTTTTCTTGTTCTACAGCTAAATCCTAGGGGACAAAAGCCAAGCTTTTCTCTTGAGCCAGGTTGATGTAGTATTTGAGTTCGAGGTCAAGCTCATTAAAGCCCAAATCCTGAGGGAAGGATCAACTCTCTTTCGTCCTGTGTTTTCAGAAAGACCTAACACATCCATCTTCCTAGTTTATAATTGTCACTGTCCATGGAATGGCCCAAGTCTGTTCATATTAACATTTGATAACCAAAATGAAAAGGATCTTTTTTTCTGCTGGACCCTATCTGCTGTTTTTGGTTCTCAGTAGCTGAAGTTTTCCGTTGAGGTTCTTTTAAACGCCTACATGCAAACTGAAGAGCACTCAAGCTTTGGTGGGATATCACCCACAGCTGGAGTGATGGAGGAAGGGAGGAGGGTACAAGCTTCAGGTGCATCCTTCTCTTAAAAATTTTTTTTTAAAAAAACAAAACCTCTTAAGCAAACAAATTCTATCTGAAAGCAGGTGAGACCTATCCAGGGAAAGAAGGGAATGAACCTCTTTCCATGTAGGAAATGGATATGGATTCATATTTGACCCAGATGCATTAAATGGGCAAATTTGAAACATGTTGGACTGATCCTACAACCCTACATCTCTTCTAATCAAAGAGTGAAAGGCTATGAACCATGAACCGTGATGAGAAGCAGAGGAACAGTGTTGCAGCAATGGCTCCTCGGTTGGTGGTTAGGCCCTGTCTTGCTCTATTAAGCAAACACAGTTAATATAGATAAAAGGTAACCTTGATAGAAGTGAAAATTGAAACTTGAGTTGAAGGTAGCAAGCCAGGCACAGCTGCAGTTGTACTTCCTCCTATGTGGCAACAGGAGCTGCACTTGCTGGTGTTTTTTTGGAAGGGATGCAGTTTTTTAAAATATCTTTTCTTCAGAGTGTTCTGGGTTTTAATGTCTACACCATTGATGGGAGAGCGGAATATATTAGTAAGAAGCCACCTAGACTTTCTACATCTAGTGTGTGAGGTCAGATCCAAGTTCAGCATTCTAATCACACATTTGCTATTAACAGGCTATGTAGCCTTGGACAAATCACTGAAAAGATCTCTGGTGGGAGATTTTCTTACCTGAAAAACCAAAAGGTTGGATTAGAGGATCTCTTCCAGCCCTAAAATTCCATTGATTTATGATTCCTCACGAGGAAGCATAACTTCCAATTTCTAAGAACAAATGTTGGCAAAGTAAGCATTTATGCAGCTTTAATTTTATATATGAAAAATCCCTTGCAAATATTTATTATGATTTTATCAGGCAAATATTTAAGTGTTATTAGTGTCACTACATAAATTTACCTTCTTCACTTCTTATGTTCTTCAGCTTAAGAGTGTTGCAACTCTTTTCAAAATAGTACCTGGTCAGCCAACTCACTTGGGCCAGTCCCTCCTCTCCTGTCCAGTCCTACAGTTCTAGGATCTTGAGTTTCACCCTCCCTAACATGGGTATAGGTGTGCTTCCCCTTGCTTAGGCTGAGCTCCATTTACCTGTGTCAATGAAAGTGACTCCTTAGAAGATTATGTTAAAGAATTACTTCTCCTTTTATCTTTCTCAACAGTATTTCACTAATACAGCCAGCTTCCTCTATATACAATGTTGTCTCGTTATCAGTTCCAAGAGAAACAGAGAGATAAGAGTCATTTTAGCAGTGCATATGCATGGAAGGGGAAGAGGCAAAGCATGGCTTAAAATCAGAAAAACCATATTAACTATTCAACTCTCACTCTTAGTGGCTTAAATTGAATGCATTTGAAGGATTAAAACAGTATTTTCTTCTTGAAACCGAAGAGCTCCACCACCTTGCCTTTTAACTGCAGCCACCAGAGAAGGTACTAAATCTGAGAACCTTTCTTCTCCCCCAGTACTGGAGAAGAGTTGCTCAAAATGTTTTTTTTCATGGTCTCTTTGAGCCATCACGGCTAAATCCGTTCTCTCTCATTTTCTGGATGGTCTAAAACTCTGTTATCTGTGTGTGTGTGTGTTTTCTCCACTGATGGTGGTTCTGAATTCAAATAATGAGTGCTCATCCTAATGGTGTTTTCTTGTTTTGTAGATGTACAATATTATGTTAGCTTTCTTCGGTATTTGTTAGCTGTGGGTCTCTCTCTTTGAGCTGCTTTGATAACTCCAAATACGATCATTGTTCATTTCTTGCATTTTCTACCCTGCAGATGATTCGATGAAAGTGAAAGATGAATACAGTGAAAGGGATGAGAATATTTTAAAGCCAGAGCCCATGGGGAATGCGGAAGAGCCTGAAATTCCATACAGCTATTCAAGAGAATATAATGAATATGAAAACATTAAGTTGGAAAGACATGTCTCGTATGATAGTAACAGGCCAACCAGTGGCAAGATGAACTGCGATGTGTGTGGATTATCCTGCATTAGCTTCAATGTCTTAATGGTTCATAAGCGGAGCCATACTGGTAAATAGTTTCCTTTATCCATTCTTCTGAAAACTGTCCTAATGCAGCCATGTGAGAAATGAAATGGTGAAATTTGGGACGACTTTTGATTACTTTCATTGATTTTTGCTGTAATTCTGATGTATCTCTCCCTCTCTGCATTTTCATTTACCCAGTGATTTTTATTCCTGCTTTACTATGCTTTTGGCAAACATTGCAAATGCCATGAATAAAAATACTGTAGTAAGCACAGTGTTCTAGGTCAGCCAAATATTTTTCTTCAGTTAATAAGTAGAAGTTGAATTGTGCGATATGCTTCTTTTAGCATCGTCCATCCATTTTTCCATCACTTTTTAAAAAGCAGACCTCCTTATTACATTGGGTTCAAATTTGACAGATGAAAGCACATGGTTTTTATAACCAGTTTAAAAATTTTATCTTCGGACAATAAACAGCCAATCTATAGAAATGCATACAAACACAACAGTCCCAATGAGCTCAATAGATTCCATCTGACATCTAATATGAAAACTTTAAAAAAGAAGCATTTCTGGCCCTTCATACCTTATTAGAATTTGAGTCTGTGATTCTTTTTTCTCAGATTGAGATTATATTCAAAAAGAATGCTAAGTAATGTTACAAACTTACATCTAGAAAGCACTCCCAGAGCTATTCTTGTTTTTTGGGGTGGGGGGTGGGGGGTTGTTATTTCTTTTCTTTTCTTTTTTTTTTTTGCTCTGATCCAAGACCATAACTAAAATGGCCTTGCTAGATGAATGCTTTTTCTCTTCTACTGGGAAGATTTCCAGAAGTAAGTCGTACACTTGCCTTGAAATATAGCTCCCAGCTGATCCCAATATGATATGAACAGATACTATCTAAAAGATGAGCTTTTGCCATAGGCGTCTAATCTGTGCATATGCTTTGCCACTTGCTGGGTGATCAGAAGTCTCCTTTTTGTCCTTTTTAAAGGTGAACGCCCATTCCAGTGTAATCAGTGTGGGGCATCTTTTACTCAGAAAGGTAACCTCCTCCGCCACATTAAACTGCACACAGGGGAAAAACCTTTTAAGTGTCACCTCTGCAACTATGCATGCCAGAGAAGAGACGCACTCACGGGTCACCTTAGGACACATTCTGGTAAGTGAGAGCAATGAGCCTTCCATATCTAGTAAATGTGTGTTCCATGGTGCCCATTGAGGAAACTAGAAAGAGTTAAGTATGGAGGTTTTAATCTGTCATTCCTGTTCTGAAGGGTTACAACAGCAGAGACCTCTAGGGCTAATTACACTTCCATTAAGGCATTAATTGCTCTCCGTCTGGCTCAATGGGGATGATCACCTCCTTACCATCCTTGCTCCCCTAGAGAACAAGACAGTCAGACAGGAAAAGCCTGCTCTATAAAAATGCCTTTTGAATTTTTGTGAAAACATTATAGTCATCAGTATTTTCTTATGGTAAGCTTTATTAAGAGATTATTTTCCTAAAAAACACACGGACACATTTTTCATTCAGAAGTCTGGACAAGCAAATGATGTACAGTCTGTAAGTTATGTAAAAATGTAAACGGAGCATAAATCATTGTCAGAGGGTTCCCTTTGGCCATTCTGGGCTAAAAATTTTTTAATTGAGATATAATTGACAATAGAACATTGTATTGGTTTTAGGTGCACATGGGCTAAATTTCTTAAACCTGACTTTCTTCTTGATCAGCCTATTTATTTTTAATCTCTAGAAGATGAACAGCAAAAGAATTCATAAAAAAAGAACTATGTTCGTCTTGATGTTTTTACTCTTTATTTTAACTAAGCAAGATAATAAAACTTTTTTCAACATTTAGAATTTCTCTCCTAGAAAAATAAAACTGAGTTTATTTTCAAATTTGGGACCTCATGTTCTTGATGTTATCTGACAAACTTTTTAATTGAAGAAAAAAAAGGTTTGTTTTTATGTCAATCCACGTACTGCTTTGACTAAAACCCAGCCCCAAACCCACAACTGGTCACAATTCAGAGACTAAGGATTAAACAAGTCAGCCCCAGCAAAACCCACCATGAGAGATCGTAAGTGGTACAAGAAGGGTTTCTTTTACAGTTCATTGTTCAAAGTAATGAATTAAGGATGAGTTTGGTCCAAAAAATTAGAATAGTTCTCTTCTGTTGCTTTTTTCAAGTAAGATCCAAACATAGTGGTCACTTTTTAGATAGATTCTAGAGGACCCAAATTTATGCAGAAAACTTAACATTTTTAGCCCTAGCAAACCAGCATTTATTTTAATTTGGGATTCCAGAAGGATCTTGTAGTACTTTAAGTCCCAAAACTCTGTTTTAAACAGAGCAACAGGATTAGAAAATAAAAATCTCAGTTCCTAAAACTGTGACATACTCATAGGGTACATTTTATCAACAATCAGAAAGGCCAGCCCTGCACACAGAGTTGAAGTTATTACTTATAATTAGCTCAGTTTTTATTGATTTAGCCCAGACTTCGCTATAGCCACTTGGAAAGGATAAGCTAAATTTATCCAACTATGTCATTGCTCTGAAAAGTCCATCAGTTTCTGGCTGAATGTCTAACTCCCAGCATTCTTTACTTACAACGAGATGGATGTCACAAACTAAGGGATCTCTCTCTATTTCATTTTTAAGCCACACTAACCTCCTTGAGGAAAAAAACAGCTTTTTTCCTAAAGAAACAATATTGAATCTGGAGCCAAAACACTGCTCAATGATAATCATTAAATCCAAATCCTTTCATATGTGAAAGGAGGCTATCCTTTTGAAGAAAATGCTAACATAACAATCAGTCGAAGACTATCACCTTATTTCAGTTTACTAAATTTAAAAATAATATAGCTGCAAAAGTATCCAAATACCCTGGCTTCTCTCAGCAGACTCATTCCTAAAGGACAGTTTACACAGAGCCCCAAGACACCATTTGTTCTGTAATCCCTGAGGGTCACCCTTGTGCTCTCCTTATAGTTGAGAAACCCTATAAATGTGAGTTTTGTGGAAGGAGTTACAAGCAGAGAAGTTCCCTTGAGGAGCACAAGGAGCGCTGCCGTACATTTCTCCAGAGCACGGACCTGGGTGAGACTGGTGAGTTCATGCAACAGTCGTTCTACGTACATGTGGCGAGCATCTACTTTTCTAGGTGGTGGAAGACAGTAGTGTAAAACAAAAACAAAAACAAAAAACAAAACTGCCCTCGCAGTTTATATTTTAATGGGGAAAGACAGACTATAAGCAAAGTAAATATGTAACATATACAGTATATTAGAAGGTAGTAAGTACTATTAAGCAAAATGAAGCAGGTCCTGGGGGCAGAAAGTGAGTCAGGGAGGTGACATTTTAACAGACTTAAAGGGCTGAGGAGAAAGCCCTGCAGAGAACTAGGAAATAGCAAGTGCAAAGGTCCTGGGACTTGAGTTTGAAGAAGTATAAATAGTCCTGTGTGGCTGGAGCAGAGTGGGTAAGGGAACATGAGGCTGGAAAGGAAATGGAAAATGAGATCTTATCAAGCCTTGTTGGCCATTATAAAGGCTGGTTTTTACTCTGAGTGAAATTAAAGATCCTCAAAGGGTTTTGAGCTGAGAGGTGACATGATTGGACTTCTCATTTTAAAAGAATCACTTTACTTGCTGTAGAGAAGAGATTTTATTTGCAGCAAGATTGGGAATTGGAGAGTCTAGTTAGAAAGCCATTGCATCTCCCATTCAAGTGGGAGAAAATTATGTCTTGGGTAGTGGTAGAGGTGGTGAGAAATGTTCTAATTCTCTATACATTTTATTTATTTTTTAAAAAGATTTTATTTATTTATTTGACAGAGAGAGACACAGCAAGAGAGGGAACACAAGCAGGGGGAGTGGGAGAGGGAGAAGCAGGCTTCCCGCGGAGCAGGGAGCCCGATGCGGGGATCGATCCCAGGACCCTGGGATCATGACTTGAGCCGAAGGCAGATGCTTAACGACTGAGCCACCCAGGTGCCCCTCTATACATTTTAAAGGTAGAGCCAACAGGATTTCCTAACAGATTGATGTGGGATGTGATGAAGGATGCAGTTGCTATTCCCTGAAAGAGCAATTGAGAGTAGAGCAGGTTGAGGGGTGGCTGAGGGCAGAGTCAGTTAAAACTACAAGGATTTTTTGGAGTGCCTGGGTGGCTCAGTTGTTTAAGCGTCTGCCTTTGGCTCAGGTCATGATCTTGGGGTCCTGAGATCGAGCCCCGCTTCAGGCTCTCTGCTCAGTGGCGAGTCTCCTTCTCCCTCTCCCTCTGACCCTCCCCCTGCTCATGCTTTCTCTCTCTCTCTCATAAATAAATATCTTAAAAAAAAAAAAAAAACTACAAGGATTTTCTTTGCCCAAAGCCCTCAAATCATATACTTATCTACTCATATGATTTATTGTGGTGCTTATCTTTGGCTTCGGGAATTTCATATTTTATTCAGTGTTTTGAATTATTTGCCTAGGGCCAATTGGTTGAAACACTAGATGCTTTTCCATATATCAATTGTGGTTTTCTTTCTTTCTCATTCTTCAGTTGAAACAGCATGAAACTTCTTTGTGTCACATCTTTCCAGTTGTCCTTTGTCCCATCCAGTTGACCATCATTCTGGTTCTGCAGCTTGGGTTGTCTGACGTTTTTATTTGGTTAATTGAACCAGTTGCATATTCAGAGTATCAAATCCTCAGGGGATTTGGTGTTTGCCAGCAGTAGGTGCAGTTGAATGGTTTGAACATTCTAAAGCAGAAAGATTACAAAAATATGAAAGAAATAATGTGAAACTCAGGAAAAATGGAGTGGAAATCATTAGTAGCTTAGCTGTACCTATTTTGAGTGAGAGGAGATTTTGTTTTAGATAAAGCTTATTTTATGGTGTTAGGAGCTGGCCAACTGAATTCCGTTGGTTTGCACTGCTTCTGCTTTTTATCCTGATGGCATCTTTGGTTTTATCAAGGAGTTGGATTTCCTCCTTATTTCTAAAGAGAAATGTTTGCAACAGATAGAGCTCTTACTGTGAGACATTCCCAGGTTATGAAAATCTATTATATTCCAAATAGCATTATTAATATTTAAAGCTAGAAGGTTAAAGAGAGCATCTAATCCTACCACCTCATTTTAGAGGTGAGAAAATTGAAACTCATAAAAAATTCAATGACTTGCTTAAAAAGCACTGGAACTTTTGTTGTCTTCATGATTAGCTATATTTCTTTTATTTTCAAAAATTCACTCACTGCAATATAATTCACTTACCGTAAAATTTACCTTTTAAAGTGTACAATTCAGTTTTTACTATATCCATAAAGTTATACAACCATCACCACTAATTCTATAACATTTTCATCACCCTCAAAAGAAACGTTGTACCCATTAGCAGTCATTCCCCATTCCACCTCTCTTCAGCCCTTGATCTACCCTCTGTCTCTGTGGATTTGCCTATTCTGAACATTTCACCTAAATAGAATCATACAATATGTGGTCTTTTATGTTTGGCTTCTTTCGCTTAGCATATTTTCAGGGTTCATCCATGTTGTAGCATATATCAGCGCTTCATTCCTTTTTATGGCCAACTAATATTCCATTATATGGATTTACTACATTTAAAACAAATCTGTTCATCATTTAATAGACATTTGGGTTTTTTCCACTTTGGGAAAATATGGCTTGATTAGCTGTTTTTTAAGGTTATATATTATCTGGTTAGTGAAAGAAATATAGTAGCACACGTACTAGTAGACACACACATATGCATATATGTGTGTCTTGATTCTCTTGGAAGTAGGGGAAAAATAATACACTATCCTCTATGAGTAGTAAGTTCAAAATTATTTATTTTAAAGTAAGGTTAACCACCTTATTTCCCATCCCCATAACCTTTTTTTAGGAATTTCAAATTAGGAAAATATCAAAGAAATATTTTAGCTATCTTCAGTGGTTTAAGGTGATTCAGGAAATGCTGAAATACAGAGGTTGAGTTAATTTGCATTTCATAGGGTGGTTTGATGGATGCGTGCAACATATTTTAAGTCTCAGCAAAAAAATAAAGGGTTAACTAAGTCAGCAAGTTTTGATTTTTTTTTTTGTTTAAAACAAATATTTTGTAATGGTGGTTTCATGTCATAAAATGTATAAAGTCACAGTTTAGTCAAGTATAAAAAACTGCATGTCAGTCAATATATTACTTTTTTGTATTTCAAATAGTTCCCATGATTTTTCCTGAAATCCAAAATGTAAAGAATGCGGTTTTTTTAGTCTATTATTTTTTTTTAGAACCTCTACACCCAACGTGAGGCTCCAACCCATGACCCCGAGACCAAGAGTCACAGGCTCTTCTGAGTGAGCCAGCCAGGTGCCCCCAAAATTTAAAGAATGTTTAATTCACACACGTCAATCCCTTAATTACTGCCACTGCTCCCTGTATGGTTTTCATTTCTGTTTCCTTCTTATAATTAGGAGTCCCAGTCTGGATATCATGTTCCATTCTGAACCTAACCAACATAGTATCACCAGTGGTACATCTTATCCCTTCATCCCTAGCTTTTAAAGAGATGATACTCCATTGCTACTGTGGATGTGCCACTTTATTCATCAAGTGCTTATTGTAAATTAAGTGCAGCCTAGTATAAGACCCAAGCTTTGAGTAAGCAGGTCTTTATGGAAGCAAAACAGAAAAAAAGGCCTTAGACTGAACAGTCTACAAAAGAACGCCATGTTGGGTAACAGGACTTCTGGCCTTACTAATCATTTTTATTTTATTCAGATAACATTTGTTGGATTCTTTATGTGCCAGAGCTGTGACAGAGCTGTTCATAAAAATGAGTGAAAGTTTAGCCCCTACCCTTGGAGAACTCACAATCCAACAAGGCAATGGGCACTTGATCTGTCAATAAACTACAAAGGTCTAATAGAGGCACATGTGATATTGCTACATCATCAAGCTACTCCAATTCTGCTGTCTTAATGGAGTATATATATGAAAAGAAGAATAAATAGAGAAGAGCACAGATTCTGTTTTCTCATTAGCTTGATCCTTATTCCAGAAAGGGACTAACATCTGGCATAGAAATTCATTTAGCCTCATTTCACACAAATTATGAGTACTTGGAGTGGGACCTTTTTTTGTATGACAATGAGTTCTAGCAATAACAAGATTTTTAAAGTAATTGAATAATTGTATTTATTTGTGAATCTTTGAGTCACAGCCTTTTATCTTCACGCTCATTGTTTCAGCTGAGCCAATACAAGCATGAGAATTTTCGAATAAACTTACATTTTTTGCCAAGTAGCAGACCAATGAAAAAGTTATTAAAAGTTGGTTTTCTCAACTGATTTTTCTTTTTTAAAAAGTGATAACATCTTACAGGTAGTATTTATTCTACTTGCTCAAAAAGGCAACAGTTTTATATAACTTTCTTGTTAGAACCTGCCTCAGTCTTTGATAGCAGTCTTTTGTTAGACAATTCTCATTACACAATCACACCCCTTTGTTCCACTGTCCATTAGCTACCGACTGACCACACCAGAGAAGAGACAGGAAGCAATGCCTCCTGTTGAGCTCCATTTAACACTTCAAGATCAAATGAAAGATTCTGAACAAACACAAAAACACAACCAATTACATGGTTAAATCTGCAGTCACTTTGAGATAGGAATTGCATCATGGAAATAGTTAACTGAAAACCAGACAATTAAGACTTGTGTGGAGATGAAAGTTAGAAACTGTTCTGTAATTATGACTTCATATTAGTTTTATTATTTATATCTTCAACGTGTCTTTAAAATCATTTTGCTAATGAAAATTGGTACGCCTACTATGTAGTAGGCAAGTGACGTGAAGGGGAATTGATCCAGAGTTACAGCCCTCCTCCTAGGCTCACTTACGAACCAAGTGTGTAAATTGCTCTTTGCCACTATCCCGTATTCCCCACACCCACCCCTTGCAACATTAAAACTGCCAAACACCACCCAGGAACGGATTTCCTATTTCATCATTTAAACCCATTATCTTGTGCCCTTACTATCTTGCCAAACTGGTTTCCCTCCACTTACATTTTTGAGACATGATGTGGCAAGATAACAAGTCTAGACTATATAAATAGACAGTGGGGTCTTCAAGTTGAAGCAGAGGACCAAAAGGCAGTGGTCCTCTTTGTTTGCTTTTCAGAGTACCGCCTAAACTTGTAATCCCAAGAAACCCTCTAACTCCAGAGCATTTCCTTGTGTTGTAAAGCGTGCCCGAGTAAGGGTATTAGACAGCAAGCTGTCCAGCCGCTGCAAGGGCAAAAGACCAGCGGTTTGGGGAAAGAAGGGTACAGCACATTCTGTTGAAGTTGGAGCCTTTGCCTAACTTGCCAATTAGAAAATGGTTAACTTGGTAAAGATGAACTTAATCTCTACAGTGTGTTTACATGTCCAATGACGGATGGGATCTTGGAGTTGATATTTTGAGTGAACAAGTCAGGGACAGGGGTGGGGGTGGGGGGAAGCCCTCTCAGTTCGCCTCAGAGGATTTTGTTGGCTCTAACCAGAGTTGTGGAGATGGGAAAGTCTCCACCTATGCCCCCAATTATCTGTCCATCCAAACACTTAAGAATGTAATCTTTTTAAATGTCAGGCATTTGGCCACTGTTTTACAGAGTAACATTTATCTAGAAATGACTGTCAAGACGAGCTTGGTGAGTAACCAGGGATAAAAGGTGATGTTATCTCGGAAAGTTGCCATTTAGTGACATGCCCTCATTACGTTATTTAGGTCATGTATCCCCGCTCTAGCATCCTCCTGAATATAGAGGATATTGAGTATGTGTCCTCAGAAAGCTGCTAGTGGTAATTGATAGTGACTTGGTTAAAATGTAGACAGTGACTGCAGAGAGCTGAATGGGAAAAGTAGGCTGGTGACATAATGCTTGGGGTGAGTCCTGGGGCTGAAGGGACAGATCTCTGGGGGATGACTGACCCATTAGAGGAGTGACTGAAGACACCAATATGAATAGTGGTAAAATGGGGATGGACTTAAAAATTCCCACAGGACTGTTTTTCATTCTCATTTCCCTGTAAATCTTTCTGATAATAATACAGGGTTGAGGGGGAGGGACGGGGTGGGGGCCGCGGGGGGGTTACCTGGATTTAATCCTCTCAAAGTTGCTCAAACCAGAATGACTGTTCCCAGTCAAAGCACCACTTAACTGCCTCTCAGATGATTCTAAGAAAAAGCCTCCTTGTAACAGCCTCAGGAACTGATTTCAAATCCCAGGCCTTTGTCTTTAATCTCTCTGCTCTTGGGGCTCTGGGTAGTGCCACATCTGGTGGTGGTTTGTGTGAAAGGAAATAATATATATAATAGTTTCCTGTTTGGTCATTTAAACCTATCCCTGTGCTGGACAGAATTTGACCCACTTCACTCAATAGCAAAGTGTCCTGTCGCTAAAGTGCCCATTATTTGCAACAGCCGGTCAGCCAAAGTGATAGTGCTTTACCACCAGCCCCAAAAGCTGCCCAGGCCCCCTATTCTGACCTTTGTTGTTTTCATTTACACAAATAGTATTGTTAATAACTGAAACTGGAGGCTGGGACTTATTTCTTTGGAGCATATAATTACATTTGACAAGAAACTCCCAAAGTCTAGTAAATATGGTCATCGTCCTCTTAATCCTTTGTGGAGCCAGATTTCATTTTATTCCTGAATTTTAAAAACCCTGAGCTTTTAATTTATTGTACAATGACTGGTAACACAAACAAAAACCTGCTAATAATAAAATGAAACATACTTAATATTTTGAATTCTCTTTTTCTAATTTGGCTCGAGTTTTCTTGCCCTGACAGTTTTCTTACTTGACAGTTTTGCCCTGGAGGTTTTTCTCTTGTTTACTTGCAGAGGTGGCCAGTTTTTTTTCTCTCTGGGCATGTCAATTTGTGGTACTGAATGTCTGAGATGACCATGGAATTTGTGACATTATTTCTGTATATTAGAATCTCTTCACACAGCAAACTCTTCAACTACAGAATAAGCACTGACCTTCCCTAAATTTATGCATATATTTGGGGGGAAAAATCTGTTCTGCAACCATCATTTGCTTTTTACTCTAGTCTCTTAAGCTAATTTCAATTCTTCTTCCTTAGAGATGTTAGAAATGTATGGATACATCATTTTAGTTTGGACCTGCTGAAATGTTTATGATAAAACAGAGAGAAATGTTTGTAGCAACACAATATGAATGTGTAGGACAGGAGTGAGCAAATTGTGACCCTTGGGCCAAATGTAGCCAGCAGACTGTGTACAGAGGTTTTTACATTTTTAAAGGGTAGTGGGTTGGGGGAAAAACCAAAGAATATGGAACAGAGACTATATGTGTCCCACAAAGTTTAAATATTTACTATCTGGCCCTTAACAGAAAAGTTTGCTGATCTGTAGCTTGGGCTAGCATCATGTGCTCAAGTTTAAAGCCTTACATTTAGATAAGCAGCTGGTATCTCTTTCAACTTTAGGCTTGGGACTCTTATTGACTACTGCCTGCTGTACCAGGGTAAATTATACTGTATTTATTCTAGTGTACTATTTAGTTGACTAGATGTTGGTACTATTTATATATTCTAGTGATTTCCAATTCTGGCTGCATTTTAAAATCATCTGGAGAGCTTTAAAAATACTGTTGCCTAGATGCCTACACCAGAGATCCTGATTTCAGGATCTGAAGGAGAACCTGGGCATAGGTGTTTCTTACATTCTCTGCAGAGAGATTGATTCTAATGTTCAGGCAGGTCCGAGAACCACAGGCCTAAACCACTTAAAGGTCTGTTTGTGGATTAACAACTAGACCATATTGTTAGGCAGTTTTTATTCACATTGTTCATTAGAAATATAATAAAGATGCATTATACAAATTGCTCTTTAATTTCAAGACAGAAGTGTTGCTCAGGGAAATTTTAGCTGAGACAATTTTGAAATGTGAGGAGCATATGAAACAGATAATGCAGAGCCCAGAGAAATAGAATTTAAAAGATAGGAACTGAAAGGAACATGCTGGAAAAAAAGAAAAGAAAAGAAAAAAACCACTCAGAATTTCAATACACAAATCACTGAGTAGATTTCTTGCTGTCTGGGTAAGTGTATCTATTTTCAAAAGTGCTATTAACATAAACAGAGCAGTAAATCTGGGGCAGCATACACTTTTTTTTTTTTAAGTTGTTAAGAAGAATTATATCAGTCTGCAGGTGTCACACACAGTTACTCAGAATCAGAAAGAAGGCTGATCGGGGGGTTAGAAGATCTCCATCTATCTATCTTTTTGCAACCAACCACGTCCAGGCTGTTTATTTAATACTTCCTCTTGCTAATGAAGATACGGGTTGGGGATGGGTCGGGCTTTCCCATCTCAGCAAAAGACTGCAAGATTTGAACGTGCCCTGGTGCTGGCTTCACTGACCACAGCAGGTACCCCAAGCAAGAATCTGAGCAGTAATAACAGGTAACAACAGAGTGTGCATCAGACCTCTAACACTTTTCCTTCCAGTTTATTTCCTTTTTCTCCATCATTTACCACTGTGTTCTTTTCCCTCTTTTTACATTTTTCCAAACCAGCAAGTGCGGAGGCAAGACACATCAAAGCAGAGATGGGAAGTGAAAGAGCTCTCGTTCTGGACAGATTAGCAAGCAATGTGGCAAAACGAAAAAGCTCAATGCCTCAGAAATTCATTGGTAAGATTACGACCCTTTTTCCTGCTGTTGTTAGTAGATAGTTTAAATGAGATAACATAGGATGCTTATATATTACACAGGTCCTTAATTTCTGTTAAAATAAGGTAATTGGTTTTCCATTGTACATTTTTATTCTTTGCGCTTCATTTTGATAAGTAAGGCAAATAGAATAAAATATTTTAAGTGAATAATCTTAACTCCTGAAGATGGGAGTATTTGATATCCAATTTCCTAAATGGAATTGGTGTTAAAAATGCTGTTCCTTCCTCTTTATTCTGAATGACATATGTTGCATGAGAGAGTTTATGCAATTGACACCAGTAAAGATGTTTGAGATAGCATTTTTGTAACCTTTCGTAATTATATTTTACAAATTGGTTTTGTAATCATGCCCCAACTTTTTTCGTGCTCTAAAACTTATTGCCATACTTTCTTGAATTTAATTGAGGATTGGCTTTGAGACAAAGTTGGGAAAACATAGATTTAAATAACAAGGCTGGATTCAATCATTTGTCTTACTGGAGTTAACTTTTATGCCACTGGTTTTCACGTTGTCAAACAATGCAACAGAATGAGATGGCTAAGAAAGAATTCTGTTTTTTAAAGTGTTGGGGCTGGTGAACGACAGAGATGTTTTGTCCAACTCTCCCAGATGTTTACATAAATGTGACCATGATATTTAAAATAGATTTGTATTTGTGAAGGGGGCAGCTGAATTGAATGTATTAGTTTTGCTATAAATTGAAATTTGGTGATATTGAACAAAAATAGTTATCACACGAAAATAGACCTCCCTCAACACCAGTAGAATTTTAGAAACCTATCAATCTGTTTTTCCAAAGCTACTTGGTACTATTGATGTCTTATTACAGTCCTTTTGTGCTTAATTCTTTTCAATAGCTTTTACAGATATTAAGTACCTGCCTGGTTTTTAAATCTGGTTAAATTTTATTCTGGTCTAGATAATTTTTGTACAGGCAGATATTTTATGTGAGTTATAGAGACATATTGAAAGAACTCATATATTTCAAAATTACCTAGGTTGGTTTTTATGCTTATTTAAGTGCTTATGCCTTATTTATTTTATTTTGATTACCTGGAAAATTTTTGTATCCTTTTAATCACTTTAAGAATTGTGTCAGACTGGGGCACCTGGGTGGCTCAGTTGTTAAGCATCTGCCTTCAGCTCAGGTCATGATCCCAGGGTCCTGGGATCGAGCCCCACATCGGGCTCCCTGCTCAGCCGGAAGCCTGCTTCTCCCCCCCCACTCCCCCTGCTTGTGTTCCCTCTCTCACTGTATCTCTCTCTGTCAAATAAACAAAATCTTTAAAAAAAAGAATTGTGTCAAACTAAATAAAGTTGGTGCATTTCAGTTTAGAGAGACACACCCCTCCCACCCCCCACCCGTTACCATCTTCCCTCTCCTTCCTGAGAAATGTCAGGGGGCCCGTAGTGACCTCCATGTGGGGCTTAGGAGCAATGGATCAAGTGGATCAATTGTGATTCCAAGACGTGATCTTAAGACATTGCTCATATATCAGTTGATTTTCACTTCTATGAAGAAGTTCTGACTGGAGTCAGAACAAAGGAAAGTAGAGGTTTTTATTCTTTGAGTGTAATTTACTTTGTAATTTGATTTGGGGAAAGTTATGACTCTAGAAATGGCTGTGCTTGATGTGGAGAGAGACATGGGGAGAAATGGGCAAGGAAAAAAATGTAAAGTGACTCAATTTCAATCCAATTATGGTCAAGGCGCTTTGGTCTAAGAAATAACATGAGAGAAGATGCTTGGTCCTTGTAGCTGTCCTACACCTATAGTTGTTGTTTGTTTGTTTGTTTGTTTGTTTTAATTTATCCATTTATTTGACAGAGAGAGAGGGAGAGGGAGATGTGGGGCTCCATCCCAGGACCCTGAGATCATGACCTGAGCCAAAGGCAGACGCTTAACCAACTGAGCCACACAGGTGCTGCTGTCCTAACCTATAGTTGAGCTAAAACCCTACTTAATATAGTAAAAGTTGCTTTGGTATTTTCATGGGTTTAAAAAAACACATTTCCTATGTCCAAGTCCATGCCATTCTGCTTGTTGCATCAGGGATCTGTTCCATTTGTTACCCTTGTAACCAAAGGATTTTTACTCCTTCATTTCCGGACTCAGGAGAGATGCTTATAGGTGCTGATTTCTCTTATCTTCTGAACCATCATGTTCTCTCTATTTGGAATCAGGAAACCCAGTCGAGTTAGCTCTTGATTTAAGCTGAGGTAGCAACTTCGGGGCTTCGGGGCCCTGAATAACTGGGGGAAATTTTGTTTGGTAAATTGTGGTATAGTGCAGTAGGAAGAACACTGGATTTGAAGCCAAATGACCCAGGTTCCGATTCTAGCTCAGTCATTTCTTAACCGTGTGTGTTTAGACAAATCACATAACCTTTCTGGGCCTCTGTTTACTCATCTGTGAAATGAGGAGACTGAATTGGTGATGAGGTGATCGGGAAGGTCCCTCCCAGCTCTATCATTCTACAAGTCTGCAAGATGAATTAGCAAAGGCTGCAATTATGAATACCATTTTGTGTTTCTAAGCCCATATGTGTAGATTCAGGTTACTGTTTTCTCAAGGTTATACAGACAAGGTGTTTATGTTATGAACCATGTCATATATTTTAGTTTTTTTTTTTTAGGAAGGTGTGGTTAAATCTGAGAATCTATAAAACAGCTGCATTAGCCCAACATTCATCTATTTTACTGAAGGCATTACTACTTGTTCATTTGCTCTTTCACCCATCCATTCATTCCTGTCAGGAAATGGGGACAGCACTCCTGTCATATCCATGATGTTCTTGTTCCTGAGCCCTGTTCTAATCTTCTAGCATTAGCTTATATCCTGAACCCTCCTTTTAGAGATCATTTTCAAATAAAGGAAACCCCTTGAGTCATTTAATGGAATCAACCTTTCTGATAGAAAACAGTAATATTGGGGAGAGAAAAGGAACATTTTGACACTGCAGTGTATGGGATGAAGTGCTGCAAAACATACGGGGCTAACGTTTTCCCTCCTCTTCTCTTCTGTCTCCTATATTTCCTCTCCATGGTGCCGTTTTCTGAAAAGATTCAGCTGCCAGGGAAATGGCAAAGGGTAAAGTGTGAAGGAAGAATGAGTCACTCCCTTTAATCCTTGCTGACAAGTTGCACAGCACTCAGACCAACCTTGGCTTCCCTGACCTCTTGAACTATGAGGGTAAAGGTGAAATTATACCATCAGGTCAGCCTGTTACTTTCCCAGCAGGCTAAAGAGAATTACCAGTAGGTATCATTTTTCACACATTAGAAATGAACTGAGGAAGAGGGACAGATTGGGTTAAGTCTAAGTGCATTTAGAAACGCAAAAACATGCCTCTATGGAAGAGTAAGAGTAAAATTAAATTGCTTCCGTAGAAGAAAAATAAAATAATTTCTTTCCTAATTCTCCAAGAAATTTTGTTTCATTCTCTGTATTTAAGACATAAATTGACATGCATTCATTAGAAATCAGCATCTTTACATCATCAAAATAATTCTTTGTTTCTCTTTTCGAAGGACACAATGGCTCACTTTTATTTTTTATTTATTTATTTTTTAAAATTTTATTTATTTATTTGACAGAGAGAGACACAGCAAGTGAGGGAACACAAGCAGGGAAGTGGGAGAGGGAGAAGCAGGCTTCCCACCGAGCAGGGAGCCCAATGCGGGGCTCGATCCCAGGACCCTGGGATCACGAACTGAGCTGAAGGCAGACGCTTAATGATTGAGCCACCCAGGCACCCCAGGATAGCTCACTTTTAGCACCTAATCCTTTTAAGAGTTCTCCTTTCTCTGCATCTTATTCTCCTGTTATAAACTTGTTTGACTAGACTTCTAACTAGGCCATCTTCAAATACTTGGCTCAAAATAGAGGCCAGATTTCTATCCTGGAGGGAGGAGGAAAATGATTACATTTCTGCATATTTCTTTTTGATTTTCATTCCTTCTCCAAAAACAGATGTGTTATTCTGACCAAAGTGGTTACCGTAGCATCTCCTTATTATTTTTAATTTTATGTATTATTTTATTAAAGGAAGTTTTCATGTTGAAAACAGCATGAAAAAAGATCTCACTCACCCGCGGTAAACATGTTAGTGAGGTTTTGACACTTCAACAAACACCATCGATTCTCCCTGTGAAGTAACTAATGAGAAATTGTCTGCTTTGGTTAACAGAGCGACAGGAAGCAGTTTGAATACCTGTTTCTAACAGCAAAAAGTATCTTCTCCCACCCCTTCCCAAGGGGCTGAAATCTATAATCCTATAAGTATTACAGAATCATAGCATTTTAAGAGCTTGAAAGGATATCAGGAACACCCAGCAAAGTTCTTTCCCCAGGGAAGGAGGGAGGATTGGAGAGATGGAGAGATGCAGCTAGTGGGTGACGGAGCAGGGCCAGGACCGAGGCCTACAATGTGCTGCAGTCCAGGGCCTTCCTACCCTGGGAGGCCACCCAAAGCATAGTGTGTCATGTGTACTAGACCGGGGCTCTGGACACGGAGGGGTATACTCAGTGAAAGCTGGTGGAAGAAAAAGCCCCTGAAGAAGGACAGTCATTCCCCACCCGGGGTGTGTTTTCTTGAGAAAAGAAGTCTTCCCCTGGTGACTCCATCAGGACCGATGACATCCAAATAACACCTCTCACAGGGGACAAGTCTTCTGCAGCAACAAAAGATGGTCCCCAGCTCAGTTTTCCTCACCCCCCGCCCCACGGCTCTCTCTGTGTTTGCTCCCCTTCTTGCCTATTCTGTGGCTCCCTTCTACTTTCCTCCTCCTGGAAGAAATGTTAGTCACTTTAGTCTCATTTAGCTTGAGATCAGAGCCATTATCTCACAGATATTCCATTTACTCTCCTTGCCTGGCCCCCCTCCTTTTTTTGGGTATGTGTTTGCAGTAAGAGTAAGCGGTAATAGACATGGGATATGGTATGAAGGTAGCCAGC